TTCTCCCTCTGGGTCCCTGGGCAGCCTCTATCTCAGACCAGAGCTGAGAGGGGCTGGAGCCAAGTTATAGTGCCATTTTAGGACCTGCTCTGGGACCAAGATTGGCTGGCCTACCTGAGGGGCCATCGATGGGTATGTCTCTCTCTGCATTGGTAGGCAGGCAAGTTTGATCTCAGATCACAGCTTAGAGGAACTGCAGCTGAGTTTCAGGGCCATTTCAGGGTCCACAGTTGGGACTGAGGTCAGTGGGCCTGTCACCTAAGGCATTAGTGTGTGTGACTCCTCCCAGGCCCCTTGGTGGTTGGTTTTGGTAGCAGGACCCAGGCCAAACAGATCTTTTGCTGAGTCTGCAGGAAGATGGGGCCATTTTCAGATTTGATGCTGGGACTGTAGTTGGTGATTCAGCTACCTGGGCATGTGTCTGCCCTCTCAAAACAGCTCTTCTAGATCTTAGGCTCCCACATTATTGTTGTTGTGGGGAAATATAAGCAGAAGACCTCATATTCTGCCATCTTACTGATGAATGACATTTAGATTGAGTCCTAAAGGTTGAATATGGGCTAGCTGATAGTTGGGGCTGGGGAAAAAATTTCAGAAAACAGCGATAGTATGGAAGTTCTGCTGTAGAAGGAATTTACAGCATTCTAAAAAAGGAGGTCGCTGCATCTAGTGATAGATGAGGGAGGGGCAGAGTAAAACAAGATGAGGCTAGCAGCAGCTGGATAATGGATGCTGTGATCCCTGGTAAGGATCTCAAATGGGGAAGTAAAATGTTGGATGTGTTTTTAAAATGGATTATGAAGCTGTGGTTTGGAGAGGGGTGGGCTATGGAAACCTACAGGGGCCTAATTTTCTTTCTTCATCACTAGGCCCCCTAGGTTTGAACTAGGCCTGGCCATTTAGACATATTCATCTGGAACTTAAATCTAGAGGAAATGCTGCAAAGATTCAAAGAGTGGGTACCTGATAATGGGCGACAGGAGCCCAGAGGCAGCAGCACCACTGGCAGTAGTGGAATTTCCTAACTAGACTTCTCATGGCAGGATGTTGGCAGTGTCTTTTACAACTAGTCTTTCTTAAATCTTGTCTGTGTTTTAAGACTGATTTTATAGTATTTCTATTGATTCTGAGTTGTCTTACAGTTTTTCCATTGAATTTTTGTGTTGATTAAGTTAGCTAGAGTTGGTTTCTGTTGTTTGCAACCTGAGTACCCTAACAGTTACTGTCTTGGTCAATGGGAGAAGTGCTGAAGGGTCTATTAGGCTGGAAATGAAGTAGAAGCTATTGTTAAAGTTTTTTTTTAATTTCAGCATATTATGGGGGTGCAAATGTTTAGGTTACATATATTGCTTTTGCCCCACCTGAGTCAGAGCTTCAAGTGTGTCCATCCCCCAGACGGTGCTCACTGCACCCATTAGCTGTGAATATACCCATCCCCTTCTCCCCCCTCCCACATGCCCAACACCCAATAACTGTTACTATTATCTGTGCACATAGGTGTTGATCAGTTAATACCAATTTGATGGTGAGTACATATGGTCCTTGTTTTTCCATTCTTTTGATACTTAGTAGAATAGGCTCCAGCTCTATCCAGGATAATACAAGAGGTGCTAGATCACCATTGCTTTTTGTGGCTTAGTAGAACTCTATAGTATACATATACCACATTTTGTTAATCATTCATGTATTGATGGGCACTTGGGTTGTTTCCATATTTTTGCACTTGTGAATTGTGCGGCTATAAACATTCTAGTACAGATGTATTTTTTATAGAATGTCTTTTTTTCCTTTGGGTAGACGCCCAGTAATGGGATTGCTGGATCAAATGGTGGTAGTTCTACTTTTAGCTCTTTGAGGTATCTCCATATTACTTTCCGCAGAGGTTATACTAGTTTGCTGTCCCACCAGCAGTGTATGACTGTTTGTATCTCTCTGCATTCGTGCCAAAATTTATTGTTTTGGGACTTTTTCATATTAGCTGTTCTCACTGGAGTTAGGTGATACCTCATTGTGGTTTTGATTTGCATTTCCCTGATGATTAGAGATGTTGAGCACTTTTTTTATGTTTGCTGGCCATTTTCTGTCTTCTTTTGCAAAGTTTGGTTCATGTTTTGTGCTCACTTTTTAATGGGGCTGTTTGATTTTTTCCTGTTAACTTTCTTAAGTTCTATAAAGATATAGTTATCAGCCCTTTGTCAGATGTGTAGCATGTAAATATTTTCTCCTATTCTGTAGGCTGTCCTTTCACTCTAATGATAGCTTCCTTGACTGTACAGGGGTTTGGACTGAGAACCCAGATATAAAACCATCCTCATATTGTCATCTATTCTTTGACAAAGCAGACAAAAATATATACACTGGGGAAAAGAATCTCTATTCATTGCTTCTCGGCCTTTTGGCTAAGATCAAGTGTGAAGAATCTCTATTCAATAAATGGTACTGAGAAAACTGGATATTCACATGCAGAAGATTGAAACTGGATCCCCACCTCTCACCTCTCACAAAAATCAACTCACAATGGATAACAGACTTAAACCTAAAGTGTGAAACCTTAAGAATTCTAGAAGAAAATGTTGGGAAAACTCTTACAGACATCGGCCCAGGCAGAGAATTTATAAAGAAGACCCCTAAAGCAATCACAGCAGCAACGAAAATAAATAAATGAGATCTGATCAAATGTTGTCACTTTCTGACCTGGATTTTGAAGAGTCACATGAAAGGTTACTTTCACCTTTCAAAAACCAATTTTTGTGTGTTATTAATATTGCCTCCAGGTGGCAGCAGTACACAAGGTTACTTTTTATATGCAGACCGTAAGGAAAAAGTATATGAGAAAAGCAATTAGAATAACTTTCTATAAAAAATCAAATATACATATTTCCTCATTATCATTAAAGCTAAAAGCTGCATGCATATTGAAGCAAAGAGAGCTTGAGTACACCAGGCCTAGAGGAGGAAGTTGTGGTGAGACAGAGGATCTGAGTTCAGACAGAACAGATCTGAGATCCCCAGTTCCACCTTTTATTAACTTGTGATCTTGGGGAAGTTGAATTAGCCTCAGCAGGATGTTGCAGTGATTAAATGAAATACGTGCCTGGTACAAAGTTGGTGTTCCATGTGTGGGAGTTATGATCATTGTAAGCGTTTCCTTGGAAGCTCTTAAATTTCCTTTAAAAGCTTACTTCTATAAAGAAAAATTAAATCATACACATGAAATTGAACCTTCTTTAGGTTTGTGCATAGCTTCAGGGTAGAGTCATGACAAGGTTCCATGCCAGCTGCTTTACTTAGAGAATCATTTTGATAAGTGGCCTCTTTTACTCAATACTTCTAAAAGGCTACAATATAAAAAACTATGTATCACTGTTATGTAGAAAGTCATTAAGTGTGTCATTTGCTAGATTCAAGAAAACATTAATGGCTTCTTACTGCTTAAGAATTAAGTCAATATTGCTTAGCATGACATACAGGGTTGACCTTACCAGATTCTAATTGTGTAAGCCATGGCTATGTAGACACCTAGTAGTATCTATAGTACTAGCCATGTACTACTAGTATTGTAGTCTGGTAGTTATGGTACTACTATTATGGTATTCCTGTAGTTTTAGTACTGCTAGCATAGTAGTCCAGTAAATCTATCCATGGTGCTCTGGTGTTTTGTAGTCAGTCATGAGGCATGTCATAAATAATTTGATAGAATAATAGTTAAAATTCTGAAGAAACTAAATATATGCTGCTTCAATATAGTATTGTAGACTTGAGGATATTCCTATTATAGCATTATAGCCTTTTTCATTTCTTTTTTTTTTTTTTTTTTTTTGAGACAGAGTCTCGCTTTGTTGCCCAGGCTAGAGTGAGTGCCATGGCGTCAGCCTAGCTCACAGCAACCTCAAACTCCTGGCTCAAGCAATCCTCCTGCCTCAGCCTCCCAAGTAGCTGGGACTACAGGGATTCGCCACCATGCCCGGCTAATTTTTTTTGTATGTATTAGTTGGCCAATTAATTTCTTTCTATTTATAGTAGAGACGGGGTCTCGCTCTTGCTCAGGCTGGTTTTGAACTCCTGACCTTGAGCAATCCGCCCCCCTCGGCCTCCCAGAGAGCTAGGATTACAGGCGTGAGCCACCGCGCCCGGCCCTTTTTCATTTCAAATGGTTTCTTGAGTGAAAATAATTTCCAGAGTGAAAATTAGCATGATGGGAGTTGGGCACACCCAGGCAGGTCCTATGATGCATCTTGGGTTGGTGAGGAGTCATGCTGAGAATCGCTCTTCTGGCTGTGTTGGCCACAATGTTCTCTGAACTCATCACACAACTTCATTCCTTTGTATGACTGCTCAAGCTTTTCTTCTGCTTCCAATGGCTTTTTTTTTAAACCTCCCCTACTTCCTCATCTAGCCTCCTGAAAGATCCATCAACTTAAATGTTACCTCTTCTGTGAAGCCTTTTTAATCCCACCAGGAGCTATCATCATTCCCTTTTTTTTCTTTATGAATACTATTATAATTCCTCTCATTCATTCAACAAACATTTGAGTGCCTAGAGTGATCACATTGCCTCATAGTTTGATTATGTGTCTGTCATTCCAGCAGGAATGCAGACATTTGCATCACAAGGGTGTAAATTTTAGTTATCTTTGCACACCCAGAGCTTAGTAAGAAATGGACATAGAGTAGACATTCAATAAAAATTGACTAATTTGTACACTAAAAAAATGAAAGAGCAAAAAGTGTTGTGGGCTATTGTGGGGCGCGGTGTCAACGCCATTACAAGATGGCGCCTGTTTCCGGCTTTGCCTAGAGCAGTAAACAAGTTCAGCGCACGCGCAATTGTCGGTTACCCTGTGGCGCAAGCATGCAAATGAAGGATCCTACTATGGACCAATGCTTTGGCGGCTCGACAGCTGAGTGGCCTATCCCAGCTTAGGGGTTGTGCTTCTAGGGTATATAGCAGCCTGCGTGCTGCCGGGCTGGGTCTTCCGCATCATGTAAGTCTAAAGGGAACCCCATTAAAGCACTGTCAGAAGAACTCCAGTTGCCGCGTCTTCCTTGCTGGCGAGGCGGGCGCGACAGGCTATGAGAATCATATATGGAAGGCTATAGATGAGACTGATAAGGAAGAGAGTAGAGAAAGAGAAGTAGAGAGTTATCGGGGGTTCATGATGCCCCCGATATGACTGCGTCCCCAGGCAGATATGACCGGGTCTCCAGGCAGCGTGCATTGCAAGAGATGGAAGAGACAAAGACACAGACATACAAAGTAAGGTGAAAGGGGGTGGCTAAGTCAGGGGACTACCAGCATTCCTGTGAGCCAGGTGGTACTGACTGAAGTCTAGCGCCCATTTTTATTCTCTCTTTCATGCTATAGATCACAGTGATTTCATGTAAAAAGACATGGGTTACAATGTGTAGAAGTTTCAAGGCTCCCCTAAAAGTCACAAGATGCCTTAGCTAATTACTCTTTTATCTATAGAAGCAGGAACACATAGCTCATTAATAAGAACAATTACACCTTAAGGTATGTATAGGTACCTCTGAACTCAGCATCTGTGGCCCATTCGATTGAGGAACACAGAGATTTAGTACTTCTTACTGGGAGGTTAGCTTCCCATTAACTGAAGCATTCTACTGAAAAAGAGGAGGGAAGGAACTCAGTTTGAGGTTTTTTAAGAATTGGAGCCTGACATTCCTTCTCCCGGGCTGACATTTTGCAATCTTCCTTTATAGCTGTGTGTAGGTTTCATGTCAAGCCACTCCATGGCTTTTTAGGCATGAGACCCCTCAGGCTTTAAGGTGGAGGTCTGCTTTGATATATTCCCAGGTCGCTGGAATGTCCCCCAACTAGGCAGTTAACTTCTGCCTTTATCCCCGGCTCCTGCTCAGGCAGCATTCCTTCTCCTATCCTCCCATGGCCTCAGAAATGGGTCTCTAAGCCCCAGTGGTCTTATTCCCATCAGAGAGTAGACTGTAAATCTCAGAAAAGTACATGTCCTTAGATGCCAAAAAGCAAATTATTCCATTGTTCCAGCAGAAGTTGGCAGCACCTATTTCTCAGTAGACACAGGGACCAGGATCCTTTGTTCTCCATGCATTTTACATTTGTTACTAAATCATAATCTTTAGATTCCATCAGTAAAGCCATTACTTGCTTTTTAAGTTGACTACAGAGTGAATAGAAAAGTCCTAGATGCTTGCCAGAGGGAAAATCAATCCATTGATTAGTAGGCAAACAAGCTAGTATAAAGGTAGGAAAGCCCACATATCAAGAGACAAAAAGTGCAGGGAGATCAGGGTGTAAGAAAGAGACTCAACCTCCCTCTGTGTGCCCTAACCCTTGGCTCTGCCACTGTGTCCAGTGTGTCGGTGGGCAGTAGAAAATCAGCACCATGAAGATCCTGGTCTTGGTCTTAGCTTGTCTACATCTCTCAGAAGGTGTGGAAAGGTATGTTTTGGGTTTTGGCTTCATTGTGAATTCTAGCCTCCAGAGAGCATGACAAGCTAGGGAAGAGCAAAGGCCTTCCTCTGCAGGCCTCCTGGGGATCCAGTCTGGTTGTCTTTTGGCACTATGAACTGAACACCCGCTGGGAGCCAAGGCTTGAAATGGATGGGGATTGTGTGTGTGTGTGTGTGTGTGTGTGTAAGGGTGGGTGTTTTGTTGGTAAAGGAGGAAGGAAGCACAATCCCTGTGCCAAGCTTATAGGAAGGACTTGGAAGAAACAGACATTTATCCTCTGAAAACAAAATATAAGCACAAAATCTTGAAAATATGGTATAGGGCATTTCCATGCTGGGAATGCTGGAGTGAATTCAGTGGTTAGAGGTTGCTAAAATCTGGGAGAATTCCCTCTAAGAGGCTCTACTTGAGTACTGAAGAGATTTGAATAGTGCAGTTCAGATCATTGAAGGAATTGCTTTAATGGGGCCAAGGGGAAGCCTATTCCTTTTGTTTTCTCTATTCTCTGAAGAATCATTCTGAGGAAAAGCAAGTCTATCTACCGGATGATGGAGGAGCAGGGTGTACTGGAGCAGTTCCTAAGGAACCACACAAAGGTTGATCCAGCTGCCAAGTATCATTTCAATAATTATGCTGTTGTTTATGAGCCCATCACCAACTACATGCATGTGAGTAAAGGGGAAAGGGGTGTCCATAACCCTTGTATAACCACCATTCTTAGATGTTCATTTGTACCTCTCATTAGCTGTGATGTTGAACTGGTTACTAAACCTAAGTCTCACCCTCCTATGGAAAGAATTAGAACAAATTATAAGTTGGTACCGTCTAAAAGTATAGTAATTCCTTTTTCTTCCTCTTTTCCTCTCATTACTGGCCCATCTCTCTAAAGTACTATTTATATGGTTAAGAAGTTCATAGTGGGAATGTTCAAGTCAACTGAAAGATCCAAAGGAAGTCGTCGCAATGGCTGCAGGGGAAAGAAGGAAAATGCATGTGAAGCTGGCAGGAAAAAGCTCCAGTGGCACCAGTCACTACATGTCTCTCCTCTTTGGAAAGACACACTGGTCCCCAGAGCATAAGTCTGAAAGTGCTCAAGCCTACAGTGTCTCATCAGGGCATCTCAACATTCTGGTGTCCTATGGACTGTCCTTAGTGAGATGTCATGTTGAGCATCAGAGCTAGAAGCCACTTTAGGGATCTCCTATTTCAACTCTCATATTTTACATATGAAAGAACTAGAGATGGGTAAGTGACATGACTGGCCCAAATTGACTTAGAACTTAAGCTACCTCCCAGTGAAATGCTTTTCTGGTTCTCCATGTCTACCTCTTACCCCAGACTTCCTTGTACTTCCTGTTAGCATGTGACCAGGAGGGAGGAAAATGATGGTAGAAGTATCTAACAATGGAAGAGAAGGGGGAGGGAGTGTGTTGTGTGTGTGAGAGAGAGATGTGGGAGGGTGGATGGACACTGAGAAAGGAGAAAAGAATGAGTATTTCTCCAACTCTGGGTATTCTGGCATAGCATGGTAAACCCATGAAGGTATTAACTCACTGTTAAGGTAGAAACTCATTTGGAAGAGGATATTGTCTTGCCAATACGTCTCAGCTGCTCAAAGGCTTTCAATTAGAGATAAAATAGCAGAATCTTGAGAGGAGCTGGCTCCAGATGGGAAGGAGAACTTGTGGGAGAAGCCGCTTATTCCCCCAAAGAAATGATTTCAGCAAAATGTGGGTCAACTTCTTGCTTATCCCTATGATAAGGCCTGATTGTTTAATGAGGGTGACAAACTTTCTTTGCAGGATTTCTACTTTGGAGATATCAGCATTGGGACACCACCTCAAAATTTCATAGTCCTCTTTGACACGGGCTCCTCCAACCTTTGGGTGCCCTCCATCTACTGCACCAGCGATGCCTGCTGTGAGTACACTACCACCGCCCTCCGCACCATGGATGGGGACAGAGGGAGGGGCAGAGTCAGGATCCAAGTGCAGCCTTATAATCCCAAATTCAGAGTTCTTTATGCAGATCTATATCTCACCCTCCTTACATTGGGAACATCTAGAAGTCCTGCTATCAGCCTGTCACTTCACCACATTTCAGAAGCACTGACTGTTCTGGAAAGAGAAAGCAGAAGTAGACTAAGGCTTTCATTCCTTTCTTCATTGCTCCTTCTCCTCAGCTCTCTCCTGTGGCCCAGAATTCCTGGCATCTCTGAGGCAATCTGCCCTTTAGGGAGTGATGGGTTAGAAGGAATTTGGGCAATATCTGTTATCTAAGGGAACAGAATTTTCTGGGGCTAGCACAGTTTATCTGCAATGCCAAGGATCTGAGGGTGATGCCCTATCCCAGCGTTTGATGATCCTGAGGCATTGAGGATTAGTAGCCTCCATGCATTTTGGAAAGCAGTGACTGACACTAACATTCCCTTCTTCTTTCTACAGACAGGCACATGATGTTCGACCCCACCAAGTCCTCTACCTTCAAAGTGGGTAAGGAGATGTTTACCTTGCGCTATGGGACTGGCAGCCTGAGAGTGGCCGTGGGATATGACACCGTGGCTGTGAGTAGTGTTCCCTTAGCCTCTGAAGGTCTGTGATTTGGCTCCCGTTTTCTAGAACCTTAAGCTATTAGAGAAATTCATGCTTACTGAGTACGTGTAACCATCTCAAAAGCTGAGCATTGGAAGGGACATCAAAGGCTATCTAAATTTATGATTAAAGAGACATCACACCAAAAAAATGCTATCTAATTTAAGCTTCCTCCCAAGACAGGAATCACTTTCACAGCAGTCCTGGCTATAGAAAACTCTTTATATTGTGCCAAAGTTGCTATGTCTTCTTGTAACTTTGCTCTGTGGTCCTAACTCTGTCCTCTGGAAACACACAGAATAAATCTACTTCCTTCCTCTTCCACACAGTTCCACTTTGCATATTTGAAGACAGGTCTTTTCATTTTCTTATATTTTTAGGTTAAACACCCAGAGTTCCTCTAATATTCTTGCATGCAGATTGTTCAGTATAAAACCAGTTGCTCCTTTCACTGTCCTTGGAAGTGGAAATCATAACTCCAGAAAACAGCTGCCTGCACCTCCCCAAATACCCACACTTTTTTCCCCAAGACTCATGTGGTTGGTGGCACTGTTGCCCTTTTACCTTCCACTCCCGCCTTGATGGTTGAGCTCTGCATGAAAAAAACCAACTTCTTCTTCCCAGGAGAGGTTCTGGATTCCGGATCCTGAACACCTGAGCCATGATTTGTCTACCTCAATTGTCAAGCTCTACTGTCTGTTCTCCCCAGATTCAGGACATCACTGTCAATGGCCAGGCGTTCGGCCTGAGTTTGTATGAGCCCACCATCCCCTTCTACTATATGAAGTTTGATGGGATCCTGGGAATGGGCTACCCAGCCATTGCGGTGGGGAGTTCCCCAACAATCCTGCAGGAGATGATACAGCAGGGCCAGCTCACTGAGCCCATTTTCAGCTTCTACTTCTCTCGGTAAGAACCCTTGTCCTGGGAAGGGCTCAGGAAATGAGGCTCCAGGGGGTCTCTAGACAAACCAAGATCAGACGGGGGCCCAGGTTATAGTTTCCTGACACAATGAATATTTCTGAAACTATATTTTGGGAGGAATTTAATTTTAAATAGACTTTAAGAGTTTTAAATTATATTAGCCATAAGCCATATGATAACTCTTTTCTTAAAAGTGAGCAACAGTCCCTCAACATTTATTTAGGACTTCTGAAGATTGCCATATTTGGCAATACCTCTACAACTGTAGAGGTATAGAATAAACTAGCAAAACGAACAATAATGAAATAATAATTATACCATGTCTGGCTTTATGAAGCATTCTCATAGCAATTACTTCAAATGACATCTCAAAAATCCTGTCATTAGCCCCATTTTGCCAGAGAGGAAATGGAGGCTCAAACAGGTTGTTAGTATTGATCAAGGTCACCCACTGGTAGTTATGAAGCCAAGACTCAAACTCAAATACCTTGATTCCAAATCCAGTGCTTTTCTTATTTCACCTGGCCTTGAAATTTTGTGTCAGACCTTACTTCCTGTTCCTTCTTTCCTAAACACATGATCCTCAAGGTGCCAGACATAAAAATGTCTTTATTCTATGACTGGGGGGACCAAGATAGTGAACACAAAGGGGCTAAATTTTTCCAGCGTGTGCAGCACCAACTTGACCACAGTAGGAACATGCCCCTCATAGCACACTTGAGGGCTCTGTTAAACCCTGTTCCAGGTGCTCCTAGAGGTGTTTCTTCTCATTCTTAATTCCTCCCTGGGGAGAGTTTCTCTGGAATACCTTCACAGTTTGTTTCCAGGTACCTGGTTTCCAATTCCATCTTGTCCAACTATGGGCTAATACTTGATGTGTTATTCTGAGAAGCCTCCTCTCCCTGTGGCTCACCTAGGGGAACCTGAGAGCAGCTCAGAGGTAGCATCTCCTCATTCTGCAGCACCTCTGTGTCTGAGGGAGTGAGGAAAGGACAGAGGAGAGATAGAAACACCTGACCTAATTTTGTTGTGGGAACTCACACTTGTGTACATTTCTCCCCAGCACACCAACCCATCAGTACGGTGGAGAGCTCATCCTGGGAGGTGTGGACTCCAAATTTTATTCTGGCCAGATTGTCTGGACCCCTGTCATCCAGAAAACGTTCTGGCAGATTGCCATCCAGGTGTAAGTAGAAAGGGCAGTTCTTCAAAATGACACTATTTCCCGTTCCTGCCATGGCTGACACCCTTCCTCCACATCACACAGGTTTCTTAAAGAATCTTCAAACCCCCAGGCTGAGATGGTCCTGGAACTCAGTAGACTCTGGCGCCTAGCTCTTGTCTGAACTTTTTAAATTGGTTACTGGGCCTGGCATGCCAGCAGGTTGGTTGTTCCTAGGCACTGTGAATAATCCATGTCTTCATTCTTGGAAGCTTCGTTGTCCTGATCTGAATAATCTTTACTACTTCCATCATTAGCTAAATTAATAGCTATTGTTTATGTTGGGTACATGCCAGATGCTGTGCTAAGTACTTTAAATATATTATTTCATATAATCTCCACAACAACACTATAAGGAGGTCAGCAATATATTTCATTCTGTAGATAAAAAAAAATCAAGGCTCAGAGGTTGGCTGGACGTGGTGGCTCACACCTGTAATCCTAGCACTTTGGGAGGCTGAGGTGGGAGGATTGCTTGAGGTCAGGAGTTTGAGACCAGCCTCAGCAAGAGCGAGACCCCATCTCTATAAAAATAGAAAGAAATTAGCTGGACAACTAAAAAATAGAAAAATTTAGCCAGGTGTGGTGGCACACACCTGTAGTCCTAGCTACTTAGGAGGCTGAGGTAGGAGGATCGCTTGAGCCCAGGAGTTTGAGGTTTCTGTGAGCTAGGTTGATGCCATGGCACTCTAGCCCAGGCAACAGAGCAAGATTTTGTCTCAAAAAAAAAAAAAAGAGAGAGAGAAAAGAAAAAAAGGCTGAGGGATTCTAAAGTCACATATTTTCTAAGGCCAAAATTTGAGCTCAAGCTTATCTGATCCCAAAACTCATGATCAGTTACTTCTACACTCAAAAGCCCTCCAGAATTCTCTATCACATGCAAATTAAATACAAAACTTTTTTGGCCTACACTTAAGAGCATACGAAAGCTAGACTCCACCTGTCAATACAGCCTTTCCAGTGCTTCCTGATATGAGGTAAAGACGTCTATGAGTCCTTGCACCTGGCCATGACTTTCTTGCTTCTCTTATTTTTATTATACCTCCTAGAGTGCTTACTTGAATTTCAGGCATCCTTCAAGGCCCGTATTAATTTCTACCTCCTCCAAACATCTTCTCAGGGGCCCAGTGCACAGTGATCCCATAGTATTTACCTGTGCTCCTGTCACAATGTACGCATCTTCGTCATTGAGTCAGGCACTGAGGAAATAGTCCAATGTGCTAGAGCAGCAGAGAGGTAAGAACTTGGCAGGTCATGAGACTAGTTGTGTATGGTTAAGAGGTGTCTTTTTCACATGGCCCAATTCTACTCATACTTTAAGTGTCACTTCCTCAGAAAAATCCTTGCCTGACCTCCAGATTAGATCAAGTCCCCTTTCTCTGGCATGTTGCATTTCCTTCATGGCACTTACCAGGACTGCAATTCAGTATCATTAGTGTGTTTTTGCTAAGTGTCTGACTCCTACACTGCACTGTGGTGTCTGCCTTGTTCATTGTTGTATCTCCAAGTGCCTTGCATGATGCCTAGCTCATAGACAGCACCCAGCAAGTATATGTGGAATGAAGAGGAAAGGTAGAGCAGCAGAAAAAGTTGAACAAGAAATCAGAGATTGAATCATGTAAGAGATTATGTACCACATTGCAGAGTTTATCAGATATTGCCCTATGGTGGTAGTCATGACTTAATGGATTATGTGGTTTCATCTCTATTAGAATAAGCTCCTTAAAAACAGTAAGTACAAATTACCTTTTCCTTGTATCATCATAATCCCTGAAAATGTCTTATATGTAGTGTTTTATACTATATGCTGGACCCCATATAGGTAGATTAAAGAAGACAAGATACAGCTTCTGTCTTCCAAGAACTTTTAGTAGCTGGAGAGGACACCGGACCAAGACTGGAGATATTGCTCTAGTAATCACAAATGCACAGAAGTATTACATGGGCAGATATATAATGGGGGTGGCCTGGGTTCCTGGAAAAGGCGGGATATTGGAGTTGCTGCATTGAGGGGATGAGGGATGGATGTGGCTCATTTTTGAAGGCACTTGATTCTCTTTGTCCTGGTGTCCCTCAGATTTTCCATGGGCAATGAGACTGCTGGCTGGGGCACCCACGGCTGCGAGGCCATCGTGGATACCGGCACCTACCTGTTGACTGTTCCCATGCAGTTCATAGGCTTCATCGTGCAGTTAACAGGAGCCCAGCAGATTCATACCGGTGACGTGAGTAACCAGGAGCCAAGGGCTTTTCTGCGCATCCAGGCAGCCTCAACACAGTCACCTAAGTGCAAAGAGTTCACAGAAGAGAAGTGGTTGGATGGGACCTGAGTACCTGGCAGGAAAGATTGGGTGGGGACACAGAATAGCATTTCTGCCATGAACCTTCAATGCAAGGTAAGGGGAGGAGTAACTCCATCCAGACTGTGGGTATGGGGTGAATGGTGTCAGGAGGTGCTGCTAATCCATTATAGATCCTAGGAGCATAATTTCAGCTTTGTCTGGCCACTGTCATTTGACTTCTCTGAAATATTAGAATCAGGGACCAAGGCATTTCTCCATTCCCTTTGGTTTCTTTCTTCTCTAGGAATATATATTTGGATTTTACTTTGAGTAGTCTTCCGTTTCCACACTTGCCCCCTTTGTGGTTTGCTTCTGCCTGCATGCATGCAAGAGTCTGTGCCCAGACTAAATCTTGGTTCCTTAAGTTGTGTATGTGTGTGTGCTGTGGTGAGTACATGAATATGTGCACACAAACATCGGCCGGGCGCGGTGGCTCACACCTGTAATCCTAGCACTCTGGGAGGCTGAGGCGGGCTGATCGCTCAATGTCAGGAGTTTGAAACCAGCCTGAGCAAGAGTGAGACCCCGTCTCTACTAAAAATAGAAAGAAATGAATTGGCCAACTAAAAATAGAAAAAATTAGCCGTGCATGGTGGTGCGTGCCTGTAGTCCCAGCTACTCGGGAGGCTGAGGCAGAAGGATCGCTTGAGCCCAGGAGTTTGAGGTTGCTGTGAGCTAGGCTGATGCCATGGCACTTGCCTGGGCAACAGTGTGAGACTTTGTCTCAAAAAAAAGAAAAATTAAAAAAAAATAAAAATAAAAATAAACATGGATATGAGTGTACATGAGAGTAAGAAAGTATGCTCCTACAAATGTGTGCCCCATGCATTTATTCTGTACTTTGAACTTTCTGAGGTTATAGACTATGTTCTAGAATGTGTCTCATTTCTTAAGGCTGTATCAATATAACCAAAATCCACTAGCTGAGATGTATTTAAGGAGAGGACTCCAGAAGGCCAGAGGGCCTGGTTAGTCATGCCTGGGAATCAGGCCATGCCTTCCATGCTCTGAAATAGCTTCTGCTGGAAGGTTGTGAGGAAAATCTCACAGGGTACTCACAGGAAAAATGGGGGGCTTAGGCCCTTTGTCTGGGCTCCCAGTCCTCTGAGCACCTTGGCTTTGCCTCTTCCCTCTCTCAGTTTATTGTCGACTGCAACAATGTGCAGAGCATGCCCCCCATGGTCTTCGTCATCAGCGGGGTCAGATTCCCTCTGCCTTCCTCCGCCTATGTCCTCAATGTACGTATTCATCTCTGGGCTTTTTGACATTGTGATTGGTGGGCCCAAACAGGTGTTCTGTGTCCCAGCTCACATCTGGGCAGCTATGAAGAATCACTAGGGGCCAGGCTGAGGCTGAACAAGAATTCAGAGCCCCCTAAAGGGGTCATGGCCTATGGGTGGGGAAGTTCCTGTGGGGGAAGGTCTCTACAGTGCAACTGGTTATATCTTCATGTCCTTTGTCTCTTCAGAAAAATGGTTCCTGCAGCCTCGGGATTCAGGGCACCTACCTGCCTTCCCTCAATGGGAAGCCCTTGTGGATTCTGGGAAATGTCTTCTTCAAGGAATATTACTCTGTCTATGACATTGCTAACGACAGGGTGGGCTTTGCCTTCTCTGTCTAGGCTAGCCAGAGACAGCTGTCTTCACCCTTCTCTGCAGGACTCTGAGATTACTCTGTTGTTTCTGTGGGCCGATGGCAGCATTTTTCACAATCCTGACTCCTTCTGCTCACTGGAGTCTCACTTTCTGCAACTAATAAATCAGGAAACTCCAAATGTCTGTGTTGTTCATTCCACAGTGTCTTTTCTGATGTGTTCTGCTTTTAGAATAGTAGTTTATTCTAAGTCCAAAATTAGCAACAGTTATTACAGGGGATCAATTAATTGATCAATGGGAGAGAAAAGAGGGAGGAAGGTCTCTGAGTATGAAACTGCAGCATGTATGTAAAGGACACGGTATCTCCATGGGGGCTCTGGTTGGAGGTTTTCACCCCTCCTAGTACTCTCTTCCAACTTTGTCTTTTTTCTCCATCCTTAGAAAAGAACATGAACCAGAGCAATTACTGATTCAAGAAGAATATAAAAGGGGAAAGAAAACCTTCCAGAGCATTTCAAACAGGTGCTCTGAAAGCCAAATTTGATCAGAAAACTTTTTTTAGTGATGCAGCACAGTTTTAATGAGTGTATTGAGCAGCATTATATTCCTTGTTACTCCCTACTGGTACTCAGGCTGCCTCACATGTTTATTTTGCCTGCTGGGACCTGAAAGCAGTTGAGTTTAAAACCTCAGTTTTATTTCTTTTGGAAGGAACTTAGGCATGGAGAGGTGATCATACAGTTAGTGTTAACATCAGATCTGGATTCACCATAATAAATGTTTTTGTATTACATTGCTATGTAGTAAAGTCCACTGTGCCACCAGGACATGAGAAATATAACTGAGGCATGGCTTTGACTCCTAAGAATTTGTCATTAAGTAGAGTATCTTGCTTTTGAGCATTTTCCCATTTGAAGTCAGCCCAGTAGTTGGATTTGCATTACATAGTCAGTCATCAACAGTCATCCGAAGTGGGGGCCTCCACTGCTGACAGCTGCCTACAGAGAATTAAAAACTGGCATTGACCTGGGACCTCAGAATTGTTTCAATAATGGGGATATCACATTCAGAAAAGTGTACCTGGAAAAAAGATGGAAAGCATTCTCAATCCTTGTGTGTGTGTGTGTGTGTGTGTGTGTGTGTGTATGTTGGTGTGCATTTCCCCACATCATTTCATCAGTACCCTGTACTAACATATGATAGAGCTGATCTTATGGAATTGGGCAATGTCTGCAATGGGCCATTTCTTTTTTCTTTAATGTTGTGTTTCTTTTGAGGGAGAAAGAGATTCTTTTTTGTCAAAGAGAAGGGAGATACAGGTCAGGTCAGCCCCAATTAACCTCCACTCTCCTCTCTTACCCAGTCAGTCATTGCTCATGCCTCAGTATCACCTCTGATTATGCTCTGGCCTTTGACCTCAAGAGTTGAGCAAAGATCTTGAGTTAGAGACAGAATGTCTAGAAAGTTCTCAATGCAGTTACAACCAAACTCAAATTATCACAAGTCACCTGAAATTTATCAGCAGGAACCAATCTGCTAGAACAATGTATGGTATTGACAAAGCCAGAGTTAGAAAATTCTACCTGCTCTTGGATTCTAGAAAATAACAACCAATAGAGAACTCCACTAGCTTACGGTCTGTGCTACTTTGTCTATCATTTGGGATGGGGACAAGATTTGTTAACATGTGAGTATTTCCCACCTTCCACTAGCACCCCTCTGTCCTTACCACATTAAATAAAGCTCTTGCCTGCCCAATTCTTATATTTTTGTGATAGAGAATTGGGGGACTAGGTTGAGAGAGAGAATGAGCAGGTCCATAGAGGTAGAAGGAAAGAGGAGAGAATTTAGGTAGAAAGAGCTGGAAGATAATAGGGAGGTGGGAAAAGATAGAAACTATGAAAGGGGAGGTAAAGATAGAGATTTGGGCTTTGTTGGGGGGAATACCTCAGAGCAACAGCTCATTCTTCTGATTTGGCCTTACAGACAAGTGCCAAGTTTCTGGTAATAACATGAACATGAACATACTGACATGTACACAAACAAGCACACATAAATATCAATACCCAAAAGACCTTTACACATAAACTCACACACTTCTGGCTCTTTAAAGCCAAACCTAGGGCTCAAGGTAGAGAAAATATATAATTACAAAATTTTTTCTTTTTTTACTAGCTCTGACTAACTCCCCCACCTCTTACTCCATGTCCAGCCCTGTCTTTCCACCTCTGCCCTCTTTCCTTTGACATGTTTAGGGAGGAGGAAGCAAAGATATGACAAATGAAAGTGAGACTGGCCTAGGACAGTAGGAGGGAGGTTCTGACTGTTTAAACCCCTTTGTTCTTAAGACAGGGGATGGAATTAAAGCTGCTCAAGAAGAGGAATATTACTCCTTGCACTGCTGATCAGGGTGACAGAAATCCTAGACCTTTTCATTGGAGGGTCATAGAAGGCATTGTAATGTAGCTGGCATAGACTTTTAAGGGTGAGAAGTTAGGGCTAACCATAAGGCAACCATGTTACCACTGACTTAAGCATGAAGGTGTGGGTAGCCACAGTCTCTCAGACCTTGGCAGTTATTCACTGGTAACCAAAAGGAAACCTGATTTCCCATGAAATCCAGGCCTTGGGCCCAGTTCTGCATGCTTGTTGGAGGATACTGGCATTCCATAGTAGTAACTGAAGATCAAACTCTATTTGCTTAGAGTTTTTTCTGGGAGCTGTGGCAAAAGTACATTTTTATTCCGTGGAAAGAAAAAGGAGCCTAGTTGTTTTTCATTACCTGTAATGTGGCAGTTTTATGTTTTAGCTCTTATAACAAGCCAAGGGCTGGATTCCATGAAGAATACATGGTGAGTATGCACCTAACAAATGGCAGTTGGCATTATTATATGGTATATATTATTTCTATTTTTCAATAAGGAAATTATTGGTAAGAGAGATAGATTTACTTACCAATGGCATACATTTAGTAAGTGGTGTACTAGGATTTGGCTTATAGGTTTGAATGATGCCAAAGTTTATGCTCTTTCCAGCACACCACACAAACTCCCAGTTTCTAAAAACACTTGGCCTTCCAAGAGACCCTTGTATGGGGTTGAGTTGGCTTCCTCTTTGGGAAAACAAGATGGCTGTATGTAACAGGAATGATATACATATGTATACCTTTTAGTCTCCTATTCCAACTCTTGGGTAATTATTAGGAAAATCAGTGTGGTCAAAGCTTTATGTATAAAGGTATTTCTCCGAGTCTTGCTTATGATTCCAAAATATGAAAACAATGAGGGAAAGGTGTATTAAATTATAATCAATAAACACAAAAGAATATTTTTAATCATCACCAAAAATGGTAAGTATAAAGACTAAGCAGAAATATGAGAAATGTTTATTTCTGATGCAAAGTGAAAACAAAGACAAAAAACAGGATATAGGTGGTTTGTGTGTGTGCTATGATGGTGACCATGTAAACCAGGATGGCATGTACACAAAGACTATGGCCAACATGAAAACACAATTATTTTATAGTAATATGATTTTGCTTTTCTTTGTGTTTCCTTTTTTTAGAAACTCTTTGATCCTATTGCATCAATTTTATAGTGCTTTAAAAGACTTAGTTCTGGATCAACAGATTACACTCTTATATCACAGTTATGTTTCTGGAAGCAAATGGGTTTGGTGGTGCCATGGTTTGGGTTCTGGACTTAGATAACTTCCTGGGAAAGTTCTGCAGGGAAGGTTCATATTCTTTCATCTACAAATTCAAGTCGTGATACTGCTGCAGATGCCAAGTAGTCAGGGATATATCTGCATACTTTGAACAAAGAAACTACACGTTAGTGTTTACTTGTTGATGTCCAGAAAAAAACATGAGCACAGGCATGATTTCTGCTCTGGGGATTTTAATTCATTTCTTGCTGAGAAAAATTTAAATTTTCTAGCTAGGGTGATCATATAATTTATTTCCAATTGTAAAATACAGGAAATTCGTAAAATACAGGAAATTGTAAAATACAGGAAAAATCGTAAAATACAGGAAATGGTAAAATACAGGAAAAACCACACTGTTTTCCCCACTCTCTACTCTCTACTGTCACACAATCATGCAACACTTCTGGCACCAGATTTGTGAGTTTTTTTCCCTCATACACCAAACAATTCTCCAGCAGATTCTCCAGTAGACACCAGCTGGGTGTCCTCCAATTTAATTCAATTTTGGCACTGTCTACCTGGAGATAGCATCACATCCCACAGGTGAGGGCTCAGTCCCACAAGACTGCCCCTCCCCCACTTCAGATGCCAGTTGCAAGTACTGGTTGTGACCTGTGCATCTGACCCACTGGCTATAAAACAGGATTCTCAAGACCCCAGAAATGGGATCCCTTCTGTGGGTTAGATTAATTTGCTAGAGCAGCTCACAGAACTCAGGGTAACACTTATGTTTACCAGTTTATTAATAAAGGATATAATAAAGAAGAGAAATGAACAGCCAGATGAATAGATGCATAGGGTGAGATCTAGAAAGGACCAGAGTGAATGTAGGAGCTTCCGTTCTCATGGGGTTGGGGTGGGCCACCTTCCCAGAGTTCACCAACCTGGACACTCCCCGAATCCCATAATACAGGGATTTTTATGGAGGCTTCATCACAGAGGCACGCTTGATTATTAACTCCATTTCCAGCCTCTCTCCCATCTCTGGAGAATGGGGGCTGGGCTGCAAGCTCTAAGCTTCTAATCATGACTTGGTTTTCTTGGGAACCAGCCCCCATCTAGGAGCCCATTGAGTGTCACCTCATTAGGACAAAAGATACTTCTATCACCAGGAAATTCCAAAGGATTTAGGAGCTCTGCACTTGGGAACTGGGTCAAAGACCAAACATTAGAATAAAAGATTCTCCTAGCATACCTGTCTATAAGGGGATTAGGAGCTCTGTGCCAGGGATTGGGGCAGAGAACCAACATGTGTATTTTGTATTATTTCATACCAACTCAGGACAATTTTGAGTGAAGAGTGTAATCCTGTACAGTCCACGGCAAACTGAGATGGATGGTCATCCTATTTAGAGCAAGTTAGGGCTCATGGACCATTCTACCCAGACAAGGGACATTATAATTTAAATGGTGTAAAATGAGGGTCAGCAGGCTGAGTTAACCTCAGGACAACTGATGGCTTCTAATTTTCCATAATTTCTCATTTGGGAGCATGGGATAGGCTGTTGAGGCAAATTAGTTAACAAAAACACCAGAAAATGCATAGTTTTTCATCTGACAATATGTTATATACAACATTTCTGGCTTGATATGGTGAACTTGCCTTCTTCATTCCCACACTTAAGAATGTGTAGATCTGCACATTCTTTTTTTTTTTTTTTTTTTTGAGACAGAGTCTCTCTTTGTTGCCCAGGCTAGAGTGAGTGCCGTGGCGTCAGCCTCGCTCACAGCAACCTCAGACTCCTGGGCTCAAGGGATCCTCCTGCCTCAGCCTCCCAAGTAGCTGGGACTACAGGCATGCGCCACCATGCCTGGCTAATTTTTTGTATATATTAGTTGGCCAATTAATTTCTTTCTATTTATAGTAGAGACGGGGTCTCGCTCTTGCTCAGGCTGGTTTCGAACTCCTGACCTCGAGCAATCCTCCCGCCTCGGCCTCCCAGAGAGCTAGGATTACAGGCGTGAGCCACCGCGCCCGGCCAGATCTGCACATTCTTAAGTGGAACACAAGTGCCTGGGTTGAGGGCCAAAAAGTGCCATATGCTTACAAAGATACTGAGTGGATTGGCTATGACAACATTCAGAGCTATGGCTATAAGTTATGAACATTGCAAAAAAATATATAATCCTGGCTTCAAATAATTTATCTGGAGTCCATTTTCCTAAGATCTGTGGCTTCAGGGTTTTAAATATGTGCTGAGGGAGGGTAGACCAACGTCATTACAACTTACCTTTTCCCTAGAGAGGGAAAACAATATGATTAAATATAATTTAATTTTTAATAATATATAATACACTGAAATATACTGGAATGCTCTAATATGATTAAAATTTCTAATTTTTGTCCAGTATGAATTTCTGTTAGTACATATGAATTGTTATAAGGCTGGCATAAGACCATCACCTTCAATGACAATAATAAAAATAATCCTTTACATTTTTACCTAAATGTTTTACTGTTGCAAACCAAGAGTTCACAACCATTATCTCGCTAGATTCTATACAGTCCAGTGAGGTAGGAAACAGCCTCTCCATTTTACAGATGTACAACCTGAGGATCATGGATGCTATGACTAATCCAAGGCCACATAGCTGGAAAAGAAAAGGAGTAATTGAAAATGTGGTCTGGCTCAGAGTCTAGTTTATTTCCCCTATATTACTCTGTCAGGTCATCTTTACAGAATCCTGGGCAGAAGAAAGGTGGCTGACAAGGAGAAGGGAAGGGGTGTTATGGTGCAGTGCTTAAGAGTTAGACTTTGGAGTCAGATATACCTTATTCCAAATACTCAGTCTGGAGAGCTCAAGAGTTTGAGGCTACAGTGAACCATGGTGATGCCACTGAACTGCAGCCCTCCAGCCTGGGAGACAGAGCAAGATCTGTGGAAAGAATCCATACAAAGAATGAGGGGCAATATTTCATAGAAAAAAATGGCAGACTAGAAGCAGCTTGCCATGATGCTCCTTCCAAGGAAAGAAGTGAAAGGTGCAAGGGAGCTGCCTACATATGGATCACTCATCCATGAAGTAGCATTGTTAAGTCACATGGAATCAAAGTGAGATACTTAGAGTGGGAAATAAAAGGTCAGATCAGCCCCACCGTCTGCACAGCCCTGCTTTTGGCTCCTTCACCCTGCTCAGAAGTTCTGCCTTCTGACTCCTCCCCAGTCTTGGCTCTGAGGCTCTCACACCACAGCCAAAGGCTCTACCTCTGTGCCTCTAGAACCCCCACCAAGCCTAAGACATCATCCTTACATCTCCAGTGCTGCACCTAGACCCCAAGACCCCAGCCCAGAGCCTCCACCACTGCAGCAGAGTTGGAAGAACTGCTCTAAAGTCTAACATCCCACCAGAGACCCCCAGCCTCAAGCTGCCAGTATATTGCAAATTGGTCTGAGCAAACACACACAGCCTGGAAACCCACAACGACTGCATCCACTTGCTGCTGTCACCTCTGCAGAGAAATCCTGGGTACAGCAATACCCACAACACCAGCCTCAGTAAAGAGAGTCTCACTCAGCTCCCAACTCAAATACCCTATAACTGTTTGGTGACCAACCCAACACCCAACACAAACAGCATTTAGCACAGGTTTGAGAAGTGGCAACTAAAGGTGAACAGAACAAATCAGAACAGCTACATTACAGGCTTCTAGTGCACACACCCCTCCTCTGCTGCATCAACATTCCAGAGTAGATGGGTGTCAAGATGTCAGACCAAAGACACCACAAGCCACAGTGTCTCTGTAAGAAGGAGAAAGTTTGAATGAAAAAATCCCAAAAACCAGACAGACAGATATAGATTGGAAGAGGATCTGAGGGAAGGGTGCTCGAACCTACAGGAGACTCCATGGGAAAAGGTTGCAGAGCAGAACTGGAAGGAGAAAAAGCATTAGCAAGGATTAAGCCCAGAGAGACTCACAGACCAGTAAGAAGGGTAGGTGAATTGGCTAAGATCCCCCACCCTCACATCTTGGGCTGTAGATATGATCCCAAGATGTTGGAGACACTTCTGTCGAAGTGAGCCCAGAGACTGCTCCTGCCAGTGAATGGAGAGCTTCTTGCAGACAGGGCACCAGGCTCTCACCCCAGCCCAGGGTGCCTCCCGCTCCACAGACTTGAGTTGGATGGCACACCCCATATTGCCTCTCTACCCGCCAGGTGCCTTTGCCCTCCCCAGGGGACCTCAATCACACAGGTTCCATCTTACTCATCCCCACACACAGACATTTCCAAACTCCAGCCCAGACTACAGGAGCTACGGGGATCCAGTGGGTCCTGGGTGATCTGTGTGACTCCAGAGCCCCGTCATTCTGGGAGGACTGCCTCCCCGAGAGAGGGTTGGAGATGACCAGAGGGTGGACTTTCCCTTCCCCTAGACTCTTTGCTGACAGAGATACTTGATCCAACACATGGAGGCTTCCATAGGGAACCATACCTTTCCTTGAGGGGTCCTGCAGCAGACTGAGGGGTGCTCAGGCTGTGAGCTCCCTGTTTGCTGGCCCTCCCTGTGCTGCTTGCCCAGTGACTCCAGAAGAACAGGACATACCCTGAGGCGGAGGGACACTGAATCAGCTTGGGCATCATGTGAGAGATTTGAGATCAGTATCCTTTTCCCTGGGGTGGTCAGGGTTTCATCCCTGGGGTCCAGGGGATAGACCAGACTGAGACCTTACAAACTAGAAGGGACTAGAACCCCATTCTTAGTCTTCTCAAATGGAATAATGCCCAGCCTAGAATTTTGTATCCTGTAAAACTAAGCTTCATATGTAAAGGGGAAATAAAGTCTTTCTTGGATAAGCAAACACTGAGGGAATTTGTTAAAACAAGACCTACCCTACAAGAAGTACTCAGAACAGTGTTACACATGGATCAGCATGATAGACACTCACCAGTCTAAAATCATCCAAAAGATAAAGGTCAAGGGCAAGATACCACAAAGGCTCAAGAGAGAAAACAAAGCAACAAAATTCTACTCAACATATGAACAGAAATCCACCCCACTTATCACTTCTTTCAATAAATGTGAATGGCTTAAAGTGCCCACTGAAGAGACATAGTTAGCCAAATGGATAAATACACACAAGCCAAGTATCTGCTGTCTTCAGGAAACACATCTAACCCATAAGAATGCATGAAGAATGAAGGTGAAGGGATGGAAAATGATATTCCATGCAAATGGAAACCAAAAGAAAGCTGGTATAGCAGTTCACATACCAGATAACTTAGTCTTCAAATCAACAAAAGTAATGAAAGACAAATATGGTCATTATATAATAGTAAAGGGAACAATTCAACAAGAAGACATAACAATCCTAAATATTTACCCACCTAACACAGGTGCTCCCAGATTCATAAAGCAAATCCTACTTGATTTAAACAAAATGATAAACAGCAGCGCTGTAATAGCTGTATTGTATCAATGTAAGAGTTTTACCTCACTGGGAAGAGATTTAAGGTGATACCACAGGTAGGCAGTGTGTTTTTTACTCTCTGAAGAACTCCTATGCTGCCCAGGAGTGAGTGTCTGGAGAACTGTGTAAACAGTGAGCACCCTACGTAAGCAAGCTATAATGAACTCATGTAACTCACCAAGCTGAACTTGAGTCATCTTTGATCTCTCAGCTCCATCTCAGGGTGGAGAGCAGTTTTTCTATATAGTCCCAGGATTTTGCAGAACAGAAGGAAAGAGGCCTACCTCTCAGGCTCAAGTGTCTGAATAAGTATTTTAAAAGTGGTTGCTGTGGGTTCTAGACTTTATAACTCTGGACTAACTTGTGAAGCTTCAGAGGTCATTCAGATTGGGAAGCAGACACAACCCATTAGCTGCTCTGAGGAGTCCTCCTCAGACTTGAGGCCAGGACCAGGGGGCTAATAGATGAGTTTATTTTGATTCATGCTGTATCCGCATTGCTTACTACTCTGCATGACACATAGTAGGAACTCAGCACATATGTTGACTAACAGACCACATAGATGATGTAATGGGAAAGGAGTAATTTTTGGTTCTTTGAGTTTTATGTCAATCTGAGAAAGGCAACCAAATCAAGACCTTCCCACTCCACACAGGAGAACTCCAAAACTTGGAAGAACTCCTAAGACATACACATAAATATTTTAATTTGCTTTAGGTGTCTTTTGCATCTAATAAACCCAGATCCCATCCAAACTCTTGATATGCATAGACCAATATCCTCTTAGGACCAGGGTTAGGGGTAGAATATAAAAAACTAGTGCTTGGGAATTAGAACTAGAGGGCAGGGGCCCCTGAGTATTTTATTATAATGAAACCAACTCAATACCCAACAGGAACCCTCCCACCCAGCTCCGTATGTATACACCACAAACCAGCAGATGGAGCTAGCACTCTGTACTACTCTTTATGCTTTCACACAGTAGTTACTAGCCCGGCCCCACCCTGGGCCCCATGCTGGCAGACAAGACAGCACAGCAATACAGAAGGAGAAGAGAAGCTTCGCCTTCAATCCTGGAGACTCTGTTTTCAAGAAGAGCACATGAAGGTAGTCACTGCTGCTCAGTTGTAAAACAGGCTTAGGTAGGCCACACGGTTCCGATGCTTTCTGAAGTCTTTGTCTGTAGACAGCTGCAATGAAAGAATATTGTCTAGATCAATATTCTAATGAGGCTTGAAAAATATGGAGGAATAGGGCTGACCTCTTGACTCTCGGCTCTCAAGGTGAGGGGTGAAGAGGATGGACGACCACACGCAGGCCATCTGCACCTACTCTGGAGCACATTCGCAGGACTGCAAAGAGACATCGGGATATGGAAATCATGGACAACAATTAAAGGTGAACCGAAATTCTTCCACAAAATCCGGGCAGTCAGAAGTATAGTGGGGAGGGAGCGCGCCCGCGTGTCTGCCGCCCCACGGGCTTGCTGGAGGAGGCATCCCTTCTCCCCCACACAGGGAGACGATCTCTTCTCCACTGGTCCCCACGCCCACGCAGACAGGGAACTGCCTGAAGTTGATGGGGGATGGCAACGTGGGCAGACGAGAGGTTTGGCGGGGAGTCTAGAGCAGGCGGCATTTTGAATTCTACACAGCGCCCCACTGAAGCAGTGGGGAGTACAGGAAGGGTCTGAACCCAGCACCTGCTCCTTAGCCCTGCCGTGCTGCCCCCGTGGCTTTGAGACTCCATGCAGAGCCATGCGGGAGACGTTCTCCTTGCTTTCCCACTGCCCCAAACCAGCTGAACTATTCCTGCCTCAGGAGAGGACTGTCTATCGAGGCCACAGTGTCGCTGAAGTGGTAGTGGGTAGGGAGAAGGGCCCAGCTCTGTGCCCGCTACCCTGCCCCGCTACTGTACCCCCATGGCTTGGAGAAGCTGTGGAGGACCATGCTGGAGGAGTTTGCCAGGCATCCCTACTACCCTAAACCAGACAGACTCTTAGAGCAGCTGGAAAAGGTACCTCTCTGAACCGCCAGAACCCCACTGAACCAGTAGCGGGAGAAGAAAGGGTCCAAACCTGTGGCCACTTCCTAGCACCACCACACTGCCCCGAAGCTTGGAGACGCTGTGGGGGACAGCGCTCAAGCATTTCTCTGGCACCTCTTCTACCCTAAACTGGCTGATCTGTTTGGGCCTCCAGAGAAGGCAACTTGTTGAGCTCCCAGTGCTCTGCTGAAGCAGAAGCAAGTGGAAGAGGGTCCAAACCCAGCAGCTGCTTCCCAGCTCCACCGAGCCACTCCTTAGCATTAAAATGCTGTGGAGGGCTGCCCTGGTAGTAAACTAAGTCTACCCCTCTGCCCTAACCTGGCAGGTGGCCTTGAAAGCTGAATTTATAAGGGTGGAAAGTTGAGAGTGGTGCTTTGTTCAGCAGCTATCTCACAAGTTTGAACCTGAGTGGTATCTTGCTACACTCAGTGGTTGGCGTTCTGTGCTCAGAGAGTAGAGCCTGTCATAGCAAGGCAGAGAAGTGAAGGAGACTGCTATTACTGAGGACTCAAAGAACCCTTGGGAGATACGATACATGACCAGAACACATCCTCCCCAGGTCTTCCAAGGATCATTCCTTTAGAACCCAAGTACACAGCTTATAATTGACTTCTAGCACCTCTGGTCCTCAACAAAGTATCCGGATGAGGAAGAACCAGCGAAAAACATCAGGAACCATGAAAGATCAGAGAGAAAAGTCACCTCCAAAAGAAAATACTCATTCTCCGCCAACTGACACCAACTTACATGATATGATTAAACTAACAGAAGAATTCCAAATATGGATTGTTAGAAAGCTCAACAGAATCGAAGAGAAAATAGAATCCCAACATAGAAAAACCACAGGAACAATCCAGGAAATGAATGAAAAATTCTCCAAAGATATAGAAGTAATTAGGAGAAACAAAGCAGAAATTCTAGCAATGAAGGAAACATTCAAGGAACTCCATAACACAGTGGAAAGCCTCAAAAACAGGATAGATCATGCTAAGGAAAGAATCTCAGAGCTTGAAGATTATACCTACATGCTAAACAAATCAGAGGAAAAAAGGGTGCACAGAAACAAAAGACAAGATCAAAGCTTACAGAAAGTATGGGATTATGTTAAAAAGTCGAATCTCAGAATGATTGGCATTCCAGAAGGGGAAGAGGAACATTCACAAGGGTTGGAAAACTTATTGTATGGCATACTGGAGGAAAATATGCCGGGCCTACCTAGAAATCTGGATATTCAAATTCAAGAAGCACACAGAACTTCTGGGAGACACAATGCGAATCGGCAATTGCCTCGTCATGTGGTTATTAAGCTGATCAAAGTAAATGTGAAAGAAGCAATCCTCCGTACAGCAAGACGTAAACAACAAATAACCCACAAAGGAAAGCCTATCAGAATGACTGCAGACTTCTCATCTGAAACCTTACAAGCCAGGAGGGAGTGGCTGCCTATGCTTAATCTTCTAAAACAGAACAAAGCCCAACCTAGAATTCTTTATCTGGTGAAATTAAGTTTTATCTATGAGGGTGAAATAAAATCCTTCTCAGACAAGCAATCGCTGAAGGAATATGCAAAGACCAGACCAGCACTACAGGAAATTCTCAGACCTGCCTTCCACAGTGAACAGGGCAATAGACACTCCTCAAAATGAAATCTTCAAAGAGTTAAAGTCTAGATCTCAAACTTCATGATGACTCAAGCTCTATGTCAAAGCAATAGGACGTCACCCATTAATATGAACAGAAATCTTCCTCCAATTTCAATCCTCTCAATAAACATAAATGGTTTAAACTGTCCTCTGAAGAGACATAGGCTGGCAGAGTAGATAAATTCCACAAGCCTAGTATTTGCTGTCTACAGGAAACACACCTAAACCATAAAGATGCCTCCCGGCTGAAGATCAAGGGATGGAAAACTATCATCCAAGCAAACGGAAGTCAAAAGAAAGCAGGTGTTGCTATCTTATTCGCAGACAACATTAGTTTTAAATTAACAAAAGTTAAAAAGGATAAAGAAGGCCACTTCATAATGGTGAAAGGGAAGATCCAACAAGAAGACCTAACAATTCTTAATATTTATGATCCCAATGCAGGAGCACCCAATTACATAAAGCAAACCTTGTCTGAGCTAAATACCACCCTAAACAATACTGCCATAGTAGCAGGGGACTTCAATACACCACTAAATGAACTGGATAGATCCTCCAAACAGAAATTAAGTAAAGAAATAAGGGACCTAAACAAAGCTATTGAACAAAAAGGTCTGACAGATCTATACAGAACATTTCACCCAAATAAAGTTGAATTTACATTCTTCTCAGCAGCCCACGGATCCTTCTCAAAAATTGATCACATACTAGGCTGCAAAGCAGATCTCAAAAAATTCAAGAAAATAAAAATAATACCTTGCATTTTCTCTGACCATAGTGGTATAAATTTGAGTTCAACTCTAACAGAAATACACACCACATTACTAAGTCATGGAAACTAAACAACCTACTGTTGAAAAATTATTGGGTCAAGGAAGAAATTCAGAGGGAAATTGAGAATTTCTTCAAACAAAACGACAATGGAGCCACATCTTACCAAAACCTTTGGGATACAGCAAAAGCATATCTGAGAGGAAAACTAATAGCAATAAATGCTCACATCCAAAAAACAGAAAGATTAGACACCGACAACCTAATGAATAAACTCAAGGAATTGGAAAAAGGAGAGGAAACCAATTCCAATCCTAGCAGAAGAAGAGAAATATCTAAGATCAAAGCTCAACTAAATAAAATGGAGAATAAGAGAATTATATGGAAGATCAACAAAACCAGAAGCTGGTTTTTCGAAAAGATCAACAAAATTGACAGCCCTCTGGCTAGGCTGACAAGAACTCAAAGGGAAAGGACTCTAATAACCTCAATAAGAAATGAAAAAGGAGAGATCACAACAGACTCCACAGCAATACAAAACATTATGTTTGACTACTATAGAAATCTATATGCCCCAAAACTACAGAATGAAGATGAAATGGACAGATTTCTGGAATCACACAACCTCCCTAAGTTCACCCAGGAGGAAAATGAGTTCCTGAACAGACCAATCACAAGCTCAGAAATTGAAGCAGTTATTGAAAACCTCCAAAAACGAAAAAGTCCCGGGCCAGATGGCTACACCCCAGAGTTCTACCAAACATTCAATGATGAACTCATACCTATACTACAGAAACTATTCCACACCATTGAGAAGGATGGTATTCTTCCTAACTCATTCTACGAAGCCCATATCACCTTGATACCAAAGCCGGGAAAGGATGCAACAGAAAAGATAATTACAGACCAATATCCCTCATGAATATAGATGCAAAAATCCTAAACAAAATTTTAGAAAATAGAATTCAGCAGCACATCAAAAAATAATTCACCATGACCAAGTGGGGTTTATTCCTGGCATGCAAGGCTGGTTCAACATAGGCAAGTCTATAAATGCAATCCACTTTATAAATAAAGTCAAGGACAAAGACCATATGATTCTGTCAATAGATGCAGAAAAAGCATTTGATAAAGTCCAACATAACTTTATGATAAAAACCCTTAACAAAATAGGCATAGACGGCCCATACCTTAAATTTATCAAATCCATTTATGACAAACCAATGGCTAACATCATTCTAAATGTGGAAAAATTGAAATCATTCCCCCATCAAACCAGAACTAGACAAGGATGCCCACTTTCCCCCCTCCTATTCAACATAGTGCTCGAAGTCTTAGCTATAGCAATCAGGCATGAGAAGGGTATTAAGGGCATCCAAGTTGGGTCATATGAGATTAAACTCTCACTCTTTGCCGATGATATGATATTATATCTAGAAAACCCCATGGACTCATCCAAGAGACTCCTAGATCTGATAAATGAATTTGGTAAAGTTTCAGGGTATAAGATCAATATACACAAATCAGAATCATTCATATATGCCAAAAACCATCAAGCAGAAACTCAAATCAAAAATGCAATACTCTTTACTATAGCTCCAAAGAAAATTAAATATCTAGGAGTATATCTAATGAGATATACGAAAGATTTATATAAGGAGAACTATGAAACACTAAAAAAACAAATTGCAGATGATTTAAACAGATGGAAAAATCTACCATTCTCATGGTTAGAAAGAATCAATATTGTTAAAATGTCAATATTACCTAAGGTGATCTACAGAATCAATGGAATTCCCATCAAAATACCACCAGCATTCTTTACAGATCTAGAAAAAATAATCCTTTGCTTTGTATGGAACCAGAGAAAACCATGCATAGCCAAAGCAATCTTAAGTAAAAAGAACAAACTGGGAGGGATCAGTCTTCCTGACTTCAAGCTGTACTATAAGGCAATAATAGTAAAATCTGCCTGGGACTGGCACAAGAACAGAAACATCGATATCTGGAATAGATCTGAGATTCCAGAGATCAAACCATCTGTATATGGTAACCTAATCTTTGATAAAGCAGACAAAAATATACTGTGGGGAAAAGATTCTCTCTTCATTAAATGGTGCTGGGAAAACTGGTTAGCAATATGCAGAAGAGCAAATCAGGACCCCAACCTCTCTCCCCTCACAAAAATTCACTTAAGATGGATAACAGACCTAAACCTAAGACATGAAACTTTCAGAATCCTAGAAGAAGATGTTGAGAAAACCCTATCAGATATTGGTCTAGGCAAAGAATTTATGAGGAAGACCCCTAAGGCAATCACCACCACAGCAAAAATAAACAAATGGGATCTGATCAAATTAAAAAGTTTCTGCACTGCCAAGGAAACAATTATTAGAGCAAATAGATGACCCACAGAATGGGAGAAAATATCCGGTCTCTACACTTCCGATAAAGGTCTAATAACAAGAATCTATCTAGAATTTAGAAGAATAAACAAGAAAAAATCAAACAACCCCATCAAGAAATGGGCAATGGAAATGAACAGAAACTTCTCCAAAGAAGACAGAATAATGGCCTGCAAACATATAAAAAAAGTTCAACATCTCTAATCATTAGAGAAATGCAAATCAAAACCACAATGAGATACCACCTAACCCCAGTGAGAATGGCCTGTATCAAGAAATCCCAAAACAACAAATGCTGGTGAGGATGCGGAGAGACAGGAACACTCTTACACTGCTGGTGGGACTGCAAATTAGTGCAACCTTTGTGGAAAAGAATTTGGAGATATCTCAAACAACTAGATATAGAAATACCATTCAACCCTGAAATAGCATTGTTGGGCATCTATCCAAAAGAACATAAGTCACTCTATTATAAAGACATCTGTACCCGAATGTTTATGGCAGCACAATTCACTATTGCACGGTCATGGAAACTACCTAAGTGCCCGTCAATTCATGAATGGATAACTAAAATGTGGTATATACTCACAATGGAATATTACTCAATTCTAAGAAACGATAGTGAACTAGCATTGTTTATGCTATTTGGGATTAAGCTTAAGCCTGTAATACAAAGCGAGACGACACAAGACCTGGAAAATGGGCTACACATCTACTCACCATCAAATTGGTACTGACAGACTAAAACTATGGTGCTAAAATAATTGTAGTGTTCAACATAGATTTGGCGGGGGGAGACACACATCTTAAGGATGTAATGAGCATTGTAGGGGGAAAGGATTACCTCCATCCCTTTTTAGGGAGAGGCAAAGAAACACACTGTAAACAAAATGTCTAAAAAAATTTATTAATGGGAGGTGAACAGGTGGAAGGGGGGAGAATGGGAAGGGTACACACTTTCATGGTGGGTGCAGGGCGCACCACTTGGAGACTGGACACGCTTGAAGCTCTGGCATAGCGGGGTGGGGAGGGGGTCCAGGGCCAAGATATGTAACCCTAATAATATTTGTACCCACAGAATTTGAGATAAAAAAAATAAAATTAAAAAAATATATATTCTAATGAGAACCCTCTGCCTCTGGTCTGCCCAGCTGTGCAAAAGAGAACTGTACATTACAGATACGTGAACCCCAACCCCACAGTAATCTAGCCTTAGTGAATCTCTCAACATTTGTATGTCCATCTACCCTTTATCAACTTACTATGGTATATATCATGCTAAGAATAACTTGCCACTTGGCAAATTTCCAAGTAATTGGTAGCCTTCTTGAAGATAAGGATTATATGTTTCTTTTTTTTTTTATTTTTTAAAATTTAAAAAATTTTTTTGGTCTTTCATTTCTTTCTTTCTTTTTTTTTTTTTTTAGCGTATTATGGGGGTACAAGTGTTAAGGTTACTTATATTGCCCATGCCTCCCCTCCCCCCTCGAGGAAGAGCTTCAAGCATGTCCATCCCCCAAATGTTGCACTTCTTGCTCATTGTAGTTGTATATACCCGTCCCATAGGCCCTAACACAATGATGTTAATACATTAGGCATTTAATAAATATTTGTGGAATTAATCCAAAGTTCCACCAGGGAAAATAAAAGGCACCTCTGGAATTATGGTAACAAACATGGTTTGAGCATTTATTATGCTATCAGGTGCTGTATTAAATGATTTTACATATTATATCAATGTTTATAACCTTATCAGATTGATTCCATTATTTTACCCATTTCACAGATAAGAAAACTAAGACTTAGAAAAATTAAGGAACTTGCCCAAGATCACATCGCAAGTAAATACTGGGGCTGGTATTTGAACCTAGGCAGTTTTGTCCCCAGAATCCATGCTTTTAACCAGAATGCTCTACAACTCTCTAGTGATCTAATGCTCAAGTGATGTGAGGGAGAGGGCACTGGCTTAGGACTCAAGATCTAGATTCCAGTTGCGCAACCTGCACAAATCACTTCCTCCATCTGAGTCTCCTCTCTCATATAGGGATATTTCTATGAGTGTCTTCCTCTCTCATATAGGGATATTTCTATGAGTGTCTTCCTCTCTCATATAGGGATATTTCTCCTGTATCTACCACAACAGATTATTTGAGGATCAAATAAAAAAATGTGACTTTTGTTTAGTCATACACACCTTAAAAAATTTAATGAGGCTGGACATGGTGGCTCATGCCTGTAATCCCAGCACTTTAGGAGCCCAAGGTGAGAGGATGGCTTGAGGCCAGGAGTTTGAGACCAGCTTGAGCAACAGAGTGAGACCTCCTCTCTACAAAAACTAAAAAAATTAGCCGGGCATAGTAGTGCGTGCCTGTAGTCCCAGCTACTCAGGAGGCTGAGGCAGGAGGATTACTTGAGCCCAGCAGTTTGAGGTTATAGTGAGCTATGATGATGCCACTGCACTCTAGCCTGAGTGACAGTGTGAGACCATGCATCAATAAAATAAAAAATAAATAAAAATCTAATGAAATTGTGTAGCTCTCCAAAAATATCCTCATATTTAGATACATACAAAATTGTGCATATAATTTCAGAACCAAGGACTTCCTAAGAGTCATTCCAAGCCTCCTGGTTAAGAACTCCTCATATATGTGAAAGTAACAGATAAGAGTCCTCTACAGAAGTCCAATGGTATTACCTCAGTTTTAAAGGTTCTTTTCTGTATACATGGAACTTGAGCCCAGTCAGGAGACCCAAATCTCATTGGCCAAGCAACTTTGGGATGTGGCTTCATCTCTGGGTTGTATGTGCCAGGACTAGAAATAAAAATACAAACATCATTTTTAATGAGTTAGTGACTATTCACAAACTCCCTCAGTACCATAGCCATCCTTGAACTAGGCATAACCCCTGGGAAAAAGGCAACAGAGTTGATTATCTTTTTAATGTCTGGCAAACATGGGGAACATGGGGTTCCTTTGCCTGTTAATGTATTTCTAATTAGATGTTAGTGTTAAAGATGGCCAATCTTGATATCCAGCTAGGGTAAAGATCAACTGTAGTTTAAAAGATATTTCTGCGAATCAGTATCCTCAGCTGAGAGAGCAGAAGACCCCAAAAGCGGTGGGTGATGAAAGACATTTACAACAGTGATGAATTAGCACTGCCCACAGTTTGAAGTTGGTGATAAAAGTGCAGCAATAATCTATTTACAATGTAGGCACAGCAAAAGAGAACCAGTTAAATTTTCTTGACAATGGTATTATTTTAAAATTGTGTTTGCTCATAACACTTTGTGTTTTCGTACAGATTCTTTGCTGTGGGGAAGTAACACTTAGATTTGACTTAGGGGCAAGACTTAACGCTTCCATTTCCTCAATGCAAGCTCAAGAAAGTTACATTCACTCTCTGATCCTTGGATTTCTCATCCATAAAAGAAAGGCCTTGATTCTTTGCCCTACAATTCCATATATTCTAAACAGCTTCCTGAAACACTGAGAATAATCCCCCTAACCTGCAAATCCTGTATACTTCAGCCCACCCTCCTTTTCTGTTCTCATTCCCCCCTTGTTCACTACACTCTAGCCATGCTAAACTTCTTTTTCCCTCATACCAAATTCCTTCCCAATTTGCAGTCTTTGCATTTGCTGTTCCTTTTGACTAGAATTCTCTGTTCCTAGATCTTCATAGGGCTGGCTCGGTCTTACCATTCAGATCTCAGATCAAATGTCATTTCCTCAACCCTTGCTAAAGTAGTCTAGCCCATCACTCCCTATCATATAGTCATCTTTGTTTATTTTCTTTGTAGCATATCACCAGGTCAACTGGTTTGCCTGTGATAGTTTTAGCTTACGGCTACTGTCCTGATATAATTCTTAAAAGGCCCCCTTTCACTCTCAGAAGTGGTGCAGTTTGAATAATAAATTATATGGTCACTCTCCTTATTACTATTGATTTTTTTTTATTTTTTAATTTGCTTCTCATCTGTCTGTGCCCAGGAATGTAAGCTCCAAGATATCAGAAGCCTTGTGTAATGGGTTTACTGCAAAATCTCTGGTACAAAACTACCTGGCACATTAATAAATATTTATTGAATTAATATGATTCTACAATTCTACAATGCCACAGATCTGGGAGGCAATAGGTTAAAATTTTAAAGGTGAGTGTTTTCTTATTTAATTGGGATAATTTAGATGTAATCTCTTCTTTATGTACTTCTTTTCCTATTATGTACTTTTCCCCCTTCTATTGCTTTTTGTTGAAGTGCACCAGAAAAGACGAAACATACCCAGGACAATAAGTGTCTTTTGAGTAGCTCCTAAATCGAGGCACCAGAGCATTAAATGGAGCAAAACTTTGTTTATGTTTTTCCTCCTGAAGCCTTACTTTCTGGTACATGCCTGGGTAAAGTGTCACATCCTGTTTCCAAGAAAAGATCAATATGTTAGAGGGTGATATATATGCACATAAAGTCTTCCTGGTAGAAAAAACAAAATTATCCTCTTCCTGTTTGTAAATCAGCTAAAGCTCAGCCACCTCAAGCTATAAAAATAGGCTGAGGGTAGGTAGAAAACCAAGATATGGGTGTCGTGCAGCTACCTAAGGATATACATAATGAATAGAATGCAGAGATAAACCTAGAACCAAGGCAACTTGTCCCAGTCACTACTCTTACCACTCAACTCAGATTTTGAGAGGTGGTATCTCTACTTCTTGAGTTTAAATGTCAGGAAAATGTCCATAAGAAAATTAGGATCTTATACTAAAGACTTTAGACTTGAAATCCAATCACACAAAAGGGTAGAAAAGTTGGAATTTTTTTTTTTTAGACAGACTCTCACTCTGTTGCCCAGGCTAGAGTGAGTGCTGTGGCATCAGCCTAGCTCGCAGCAACCTCAAACTCCTGGGCTCAAGCAATCCTGCTGCCTCAGCCTCCCGAGTAGCTGGGACTACAGGCATGCGCCACCATGCCCGGCTAATTTTTTCTATATATATTAGTTGGCCAATTAATTTCTTTCTATTTATAGTAGAGATGGGGTCTCGCTCTTGCTCAGGCTGGTTTCAAACTCCTGACCTTGAGCGATCTGCCTGCCTCAGCCTCCCAGAGTGCTAGGATAACAGGCCTGAACCACCACGCCCGGCCGGAATTTGCTTTTTAAACTAAGATACTACAATGTATGTAAACATAGCTTCCAGTATTTTAACCTCGTGCATCTCAGCACTAGTCCCTGTCTTGGGACTATTTCTTCAGTGAATTTTTTTCCACTCTCCTTGGGACACTCCTAAATGCCTACCCTTCTTAAATTTCAGGGTATATTCTTTTAGTTCACCCCTCCGTTCCCTGCCCTTTTAACCCCAATGCAAACACATTGCAGCAACATGGACCACACTAAAATCCTAGCACATTACCTTGTTGGTTGGCTTAAACCTCACGGCTGTTCTGGCTCCTAAAGTATATCCTTTTACACTGGTCGGGATCTTAGATAAGTTGTATGCCAAGTCATTCCTCTTTGGGTGGTGTATAAAAAACAAAGAAAAAACAACACATAGATAACATTAGGGCCATCAAAATGTAGTGAACTTAGAATGTTTCCATCTGAACCTTCTCTGTGAGAGTTTGCTCTTTTTTGTCTTAACTCCTTACAGGTGAAGACCATAAGTAACACAGGTAACCCTGAAAAGGGATGTGGCTGAATAGGTAAAATAAATGACATTTCTATGTATTCTAATTAATCTAGTCTTCTGAGCCTAAACAGCTGAACAAGCTCTAAGGCAACTGTCAGCCTGAGGTTTGGACTAATGGGAGGGTAATTAGTATTGGGGCTCAGAAAACAGTGCCCCAAAATGAAGGCCTCAGAAACAAAAGTTTTTCTCTGACTTTCTCCTGTCCTCCTGTCTCTCAGTCCCATTGTCCCCCTAGGCTGGCCACAGAAACTAGAATTCTTCTTCTTCAAGGTGGGTCATAGAAACCAGAACCCCTTTTCCTGAAAGCCAGCCATAAAACCCAAAAATGTTCTCGGAAAAACTGGCCGTAAAGAAATTACCTGGCCTACTTTGACGGTAGGTCATTGAGACCCTCATCTTAGAGAGAGTCCTGCCTTATACCTAGAAGGAAGGAATGCATGCTCTGAGAGACCAAAAAGAACCTAGACAGTCCTTCCTGCGTTTCTACAGTCTATTAACACTAGAGCATACACTTCTAGTCCAATCATATTGCTACATGGTTGTCCATACTTTGTTCAATACAAGCATAAAAATGGACAATGTCTTCTCTATCTTTGGGTTTTCATTCTGAAGGCTTTCATGTACACATGTTAAATAAATTTGTATGCCATTTCTCCTGTTAATCTGCCTCATGGATTTTCAGCTAATCTCCAGTGGGCCAAGGGCCTTAACGTCCACACTGGCATTGGCTCACAGGCCTGAGGAGGCGAGGAAGGAGCAGGGACTGCATGAAGCTGAGGCTTGCATTTAGACTGGGTGCGCGGGGGTGGGGAGCAATGGTCCTTCAATCTCTGGCATTGGCTGGAACAGTTGGTTGCAGGAGACCAGAGCACTTTCTCCTGTTCAGACTGTGAAGATCACAAATCTCCTATAGTTTTTCTTCCACAAAATTTGGCTATCCTTCAACAGCCTTAAAACTGAGACCTAGCTAAGGGGAAGTGAATACTCACATCTTCTGGTACGTAACATCCAGGCCCTATATGGGGCGATCCCCTAATAGGGAGAAACTTGTTCCCAAACAAGTTTGGGGGATGGTAGAGAGGAAAGAGCTTCCTGTGTTGACGTGTTCCAAAGGAGGACTTATTCGCCGCACCTAAAGATCAAGAAAGAGGAGAAACTCCATGTGAGGGAAATCATCCTGGTCTGTGTGAGCGTGCTGAGGGAGAAGAGGGTTAGGAGGGGAGGAGGAGCAGAGGACAGGGCCAGACCGTGCACTTACAAAACCCAGGCTGAAGGAGCTCGGTGGAGAGGGGCGAACTGTACTTCCTCCTGCATCATCTTTCCCAGCCCCCCAACGCTTCCCCGAACCTCTACTCTGGACTCCTTCCCAGCCCTCCTCACCCAATTTGAGGAAACACATCGCGCCCAGCCGAGGCTAGCACTTGTGTACTGCGTTGCCAAGGGAACGAAGGCTCTCGGCCCAGCCCGAGCGGCAGAGCTCTGGTAGAGGAGGGGCCGGGAATGCGTTTGCGCTGCCAGTGGGGGAGCCACCTTCCCGGAGGGCGCCACCATCCCGGAGGGCGCCACCATCCCGGAGGGCGCCAGCACCTGGGAGCCGGAGCCCAGTGGGTAGTGATCTCGGCTGCTGGGCTGAAGGTAAAGGGCTTGCTGGACCTGTGGCCTCGTGGGGCCTATGGGTGAGGGAGTGGCAAAGAGCTCTGGAAACTTGGTCACGAGGAATGCGCTGCTGTAGAGGGAGGGACAGTGGGGTTCAGAGTGCCCCCGAAGTCCGGGCAACTAGGATCAGGGAAGCAGAAGAACGCAGTCGCTGCAATGATGGGTATGGGAGTGGGCTTTCTGGACAGCGCCTAGAGCTGGGCAGTGGGAGGCGGAGTTGAGCTAACTGCTAGTTCCATATTAAGCCCTTCTAACACCCATTTTCCCATTTCCTCAAGCCCTTCCAATAAGTTTGCATAACCCCCTTCTACGCCTACAGCTGGGCACGAGGACTTTAAAAGGTCTGGAGGCCTGAGGCCTTGAGTTCCTCTTGAGTACAGAGGTGCTTAACAGTTTTAAAAATCTTGGGAAGTCACTTAAATTTCTATGTAAATTTGGCTTGTAAAACAGGACAGAAAAAAAAAAAACAAATTGGGGATAATAATTCTTCTTTATAGAGTTGTTGAGAGGATTGAGATGACAGGATTAGAACAGTTCGGTGCATGTGCCTTGGTGGGTGACAATACAAGAGGTTATTAGCACTGAAGATAATAACCCAAGAAAAAAAAGTCAGGGTATGTGTTGACTTTTTAACTTTTGTCCTTATTGTTAACACTAACTTATTTTCACTAGATTAGTCGTCGTGGTAACGGAGCGGTAAGAGAACATAAGCACGACTGGTCCATACTACCTTTTGGCCCCTTATGGATGATGATCTGGGCTCCACACATATCCTGGGCTAGCACTGTCTTCAGGGATGATTTTATAAGTCTAATGCAGGTTTTTCCAAAAATAAAAGGTGATACTGAGTCCAGAGGGTATTTTGGAAGCATTTTCACTTATTAAAAATGCCTGGGGTGTTGCTCCTGGTCAGCAAGCCAGGGAGGCTAGACATCCTGCAGCACATTGTCTAGTCACACAATAAATTGTCCCTTGTCCCACATAACATTTACATGCCCTGCTGGATTCTACAAAAATAATTAGTACTACTTATATATATTAACATTGATAAAAAACTTTATAAGAAATAATTCAGAAAGCCCAGTAATAACAACCCAGAAGGTTGTTATGAGGAGCCAAGCTTAAATGGAATAAAAGTAGGGTCTCAAAATTATTGTGTAATTTACTGCAAGCATTCTGTCTACTCACAATTGCCATAATGCTGATGGTAAATGCAACGTAAAGGTGTAGAATCATGCATCACTTAATGATGGGCATATGTTCTGAGAAATGCATCACAAGGCGATTTCATCATTCTGTGCTCCTCAAGAGTGCACTTTTACAAACCTAGATGGTAGTGCCTACTACACACCTAGGCTTGTGGTATATAGCCTATTGCTCTTAGGCTGTTAACCTGTATAACATGTTACTGTACTGAATACTGAAGCTAACTATAGCACAATGTTAAGTATTTGTGCATCTAAACATATCTAAGCATATAAAATGTACAGTAAAAATATGATATAAAAGATAAAAAATGCTGTATCTGTATAGGGCAGCTCCATTATAATCTTATGGAGCCACCATTTGATCTGCCACCATATGATCTTATGATCTTATCACCATATGATAAACCACCATATGAACTTATGGAGCCACCAATGATCTGTTATTGATCAGGATGTCATTATGCAGTGCATGAGTGTATTGGTTTTGATTTGATGATTTTTACATTCATTAATATTTTAGGTACTATTAATATTTGTAGGTAACCACAGTGTTTTTTGAAAATAATGTTTACATTATTGGTGACACCAAACATGAAAGTACTTTGAAAATATGGCAATCCATTCCTACATTGGTAGACTGATTTGCTTCAGACTAATTCTTGAGCTTACAGGTAAAAAGCTGGACTAAATCGATAAAATATATATATTTGAAGATATCAAAGATATATGAAGGAAGAAAAAACAGACAGGACCAATCCCAGAGAGAAGACCAAAGTGGTGGGTTCAATAATTGGTACTGCTGTTGCCTTTGAACATTTGGTAAATAAAAAGCTATCTGAGAAGCAGAAGATTTGACTAGAGCTTTGGACAGTCTCTGAGATCTGAGGAATGAGATTTAGGCTGGCCATGGAGAAGAGGAGACTGGCAAATACCCTGGGATTTTAGTTGAGACTTCAGATAAACTCTAGGAATAAAGATAAATAGGAAATAGACCAGTTCTCAAGAAACCCTGAAGTCCTATTTTGCATCAACTCAGTCCCCAATAGCATTAAACTGACCTAGACCTATCCTTACTGCGTGCAAGAAACAAAAGTACATCTTCACTGAAGATATCACCCAGACACTCAACTAATTTTTATGATTTTTTTCATGCAAAATGTTTGGCATTTACTATAAAACTACCACTTATAAAAAAAAGTAGAAATAGGCCAAAGGAATTCAGAGATTGGAGGCATCAAACGTAGCCTTTAAAATAACTATACTTGGCGTGAGATTTTGGAAAAAGCAACAGGACTGCGAGGTGAATGTAGGGAATCAAAAGAAAGCAGAGAAATATTTGAACATAAAGCATGCTTGGTTCTGAGGTAAGAAGCCTAAAATAAAGAGATTAACCATAAAAACAGTCAATAAGATCCAGTGTAGCCGGGCGGGTGGATCACGCCTGTAATCCTAGCTCTCTGGGGCCGAGGCGGGCGATTGCTCAAGGTCAGGAGTTCAAAACCACCTGAGCAAAGAGGGAGACCCCGTCTCTACTATAAATAGAAAGAAAATTAATTGGCCACTGATATATAATAAAAATTAGCCGGGCATGGTGGCCCATGCCTGTAGTCCCAGCCTACTCGGGAGCTGAGGCAGAAGGATCCTCTGAGCCCAGGAGTTTGAGGTTGCTGTGAGCTAGGCTGACGCCAACGGCACTCACTCTAGCCTGGGCAACAAAGAGACCTCTGTCTCAAAAAAAAAAAAAAAAAAAAAAAAAGATCGCAGGTACTCCAAGAAGAGAAATCCCCTATTAATCTCCGGGTGTTCAATATTACTGGACATACAGTATAACTGGGCCACCTGGATTTGATGTGATTTATCAACTTTCATTCAAAGCCAGTTTGAACATAATACAAAAGATGGACTATCTATATCCATGTATATCCCTGTTACCAAGGTGTAATGGTAACAAATTTGAGAAGCTAATGCATGAATATTTCAGATAGCTTCTAAGGAATGTCAAGGATGCCCAATGTTTGAATGATGACTATATGCACAAAGGAAAACCTATGCAGGTTGCCTACTAATACCAAGGAATGCTTAGAGCCAAATTCTATTATTGTGCACTTTAGATGAACCTTTTAAGTAAGAGTTTAGCAATTTCTGTCATGTACATTTATAACACAAGTTTAATATTAAGAGAATGCTAGATTTTGTGGGAAAGAACTATCTTTCTTAACTATATGAAGGCAATTTATCTATTTCCTCATTTGACTGTTCTGAGTCCATTATATAAATAATTTATATTCCAGGGGAATTACTTGCCCTGCTGGCAGTAGTCTAATTGAATGAGGATAAGTAGAATTGCAAGTTTTGCATAATGTTTTAAATGGATTTGTCTCATTTTAAAATTTATTAAATTAAATAATAATGAATCATTTCAACACAGAGGATAAGCTGATTATTATATTTAAGAAATTAGCCAGACATGGTGGTTCATGCCTATAATCCTAGCACTCTTAGAGGCCAAAGTGGGAGGATCACTTGAGGTCAGGAGTTCAAGACCAGCCTGAGCAAGAGTGAGACCCCATCTCTACCAAAAATAGAAAACATTAGCTGGGTGTGGTGGTGGGCGCCTGATGTTACAGCTACTTGGAAGGTTGAGGCAGCATGAGGATTGCTTGAGCCCAGGAGTTTGAGGTTGCTGTGAGCTATGATGATACCACTGCACTCTACCTGGGGATGGCAGAGTGAGACTCTGTCTCCAAAATAATAATAATAATAATAATTTAAAAAGGAAAGAAAAGAAAAGAAAGTCAATGACAGGATGGAAAATTTTGGAAGCAACAAAAAAGGATCAAATAAAAATTATAGAAATAAAAAGCGCCATCACTGAAAATAAGAACTCATTGCATGGATTTAATAGCAGATTAGAAAAGTTGGAAAAAAGAATGAATGGAGAGAAAAATGAATCAGAAGAAAGTATCAGACTGACGCTTGAAGAAACAAAAGGATAGAAAATGCATAAAAAATGTAAGAAGAGATGAGAAACAATGAAAAAAAGACTGACACAGCTGTATTTAGAGTTCCACTAAAGGTGGAGAAAGAGAATGTGGGAGATGCAAAAGTTGAAGAGACAATGGCACAGAATATTTCAGAACTGATGAAAAATATTGAACCAGAGGTTAAAGAAATACCACAATCTCAAGCAAGACAAATGAAAAGCAAACTGCACTTGGTCATTTCATAGTAAAACTGATGAAAAACAAAAACAAAGAGAAAATCTTGA